CACACCCACGCCAAACCCACACCCACGCCCAACCCTCGCCACACCCACGCCCAAGCCACGCCACACCCACGCCGAACACACGCCCACTAGTAACCCATGGCCTGGGTTTGGCGTGGGTTTGCGGTGGGTTTGGTGTGGGTTTGGCGTTGGTTTGGTGTGGGTTTGGGTTACTACTGGGCGTGGGTTTGGCGTGGGTTTGGTGTGGGTTTGGTTACTGGAGGGTGTGCGTTTGGCGTGGGTTAGGCGTGGCTTTGGGTTACTAGTGGGCGTGGGTTTGGCGTGGGTTTGGTGTGGGTTGGGTTACTGGAGGGTGTGCGTTTGGCGTGGGTTAGGTGTGGCTTTGGGTTACTAGTGGGCGTTTCTAGTAACCCGTGGGTTTAAGTTGTCTTTGACAAGTTACTAGTAACCCAAACCCATGGTTTACTAGTGGTCATGGGTTTTGGAGTGGGTTTGGCGTGGGTTTGGTATGGCTTTGGTATGGGTTTGGGTTACTAGTGGACGTTACTAGTAACCCAAACCCACGCCAAGCCCATGCCAAACCCACGCCAAGCCCACACCAAACCCATGCCAAACCCACCCCAAGCCCATGCCCACTAGTAACCCAAGGGTTTTGGTTACCAATAACGCCCAGTAGTAACCCAAACCCACACGAAACCCACACCAAACCCACGCCAAACCAACGCCCACTAGTAACCCATGGGTTTGGGTTACTAGTAATGCGCCAAACCCAGTCCAAACCCATGCGTTACTAGTAACGCCCACTAGTAACCCAAACCCACGCCAAACCCATGCCAAACCCACGCCAAACCCACGCCAAACCCACGCCAAATCCACGCCCACTAGTAACCCAAACACACGCCAAAGCCACGCCAAACCCACACCAAACCCTCGTCAAACCCATGCAAGCCCACGCTAAACCCAAGCTAAGCCCACCCTACTAGTAATGCCAAACCCACGCCAAACCCACGCCAAACCCACGCCAAACCCACGCCAAACCCCACGCCAAACCCACGCCAAACCCGCTCCAAGTTCATGGGTTACTAGTGGGCGTGGGTTTGGCGTGGATTTGGCGTGGGTTTGGTGTGGGTTTTGGTTACTAGTGGGCGTTAGTAGTAACCCAAACCCATGGGTTACTAGTGGGCGTGGGTTTGGTGTGGGTTTGGGTTACTAGTGGGCGTGGGTTTGGCGTGGGTTTGGCGTCCAAACCCATGCCCCCTAGTAACCCATGGGTGTGGGTTACTAGTAACGCCCACTAGTTGGTGTGGGTTTGGCATGGGTTTGGTGTGGGTTTGGGTTAGTAGTGGGTGTGGGTTTAAGTTACTAGTGGGTGTGGGTTCGGGTTACTAGTGGGCGTTATCAGTAACCCAAACCCATGGGTTACTAGTGGGCGTGGGTTTGAAAACCCACGCCAAACCTACGCCAAACGCATGCCAAACGCACGCCAAACCCACGACCACTAGTAACCCAGACCCACACCAAACCCATGCCAAACCCACGCCAAGCCCACGCCCACTAGTAACCCATGGCGTGGATTTGGAGTGAGTTTGGCGTGGGTTTGGTGTGGGTTTGGGTTACTAGTGGGCGTGGGCTTGGCGTGGGTTTGGGTTACTAGTGGGCGTTACT